CCAAGCCCCTGCATCGCCCTCCGTGTGTGTTTTCCAGGCCTAAAGCTCTGAGCTGCAAGGGCAAGGAGGTGGAAAACGTTTTCAACATCCGGACGCCGGAAGATGCCAACCGTGTCGTGAAGCTGGCCACCAGCAAGAACGTGGTTATCGTAGGAGCATCCTTCCTGGGTGAGCTCCCCATCTTCCCGCAGACAGTCCCAGCCCCTCGCCCAGTTTGCCACTGCCCAGTTAGAGACAGCCCCTCCCCGCAAACTGGAACTTGGGGCAGTCCAACCTCCAGCGCCAGGTGGGAGGTAGGGGCATATCTTTGCTGAAGAAATTGCTTTTAGAATCATAGAATCATAGAATGGCCCAGGCTGGAAGGGACCTCAGAGATCATTTAATCCAACCTCCCTGTCATGGGCAGGGACGCCTCTCAACTAGATCAGGCAACACATGGGGACCGAGCGGGAATCGAACCCGCGACCTCAGTGTTGTCGTTGGTGTCAGTGCTGCGCTCGACGTTCACCTTGCATGGACGCAGATATTGCTGTCCCAGTCTGCAAAGCGTACGGCCAGCCCAGTACCGGCACTCCGGTAGTTTCAAATCCAGTGTGTCCAGATCTGGCTTCGATTGTGAGGCTCTTGTTGGTAGGTGAAAGCGTATGTATTTATTCCCCTTTCACTATTTTTTAGCAGGGTGGTGAAATTTTAAAATGCATAGGGAAAATTTTATCCTTTTTTTGATGGTTCTTCATTTTGCTTGACGGGGTCCTAACAAAATTATTGTGGGTCCTGCAAGCCTTAAGCATAAATGCTTATTATTCAAGGAGTCTATAACAAAATGTTTGGTATTTATTTTTCTTTTTTTTTAAAAAAAGGTCCCGTTTTAATGGTTCTATCAACCCCGTCTACAGAAAAGCACATAGTATGTGGGGACCAATTGCAAACCTCAGGTCACCAGAAAGTTTCCCAAAAAATCCTCTAAATAGGAGATATCTTGGTGAATGTTCCATGCAATTGCCAACACCAAAATTCTCCTGATCGGAGAAAACGGGTGGTCGTGTGGTCTCTTTTCAGCCCTCAACTCATGACCTCTGCTGAGGTGGTCCCAGGCGTCAGAGGGAGGTTTCCCTCCTCTGAGGTCCATTGCTCCAAGTGCTCCCTGGTGCGCTTTGGGACACTGGTCGTTGAAACCTCTCTCTGAGAACAAATTGCCATAAATCCTAAATCTCACCTGAAATGGTGTGGCCCCTTGTGGCTCCTGGGGCCACCTCTACCTCCCAGTAGAGCAGCTCCACTTTCCCAGCCCAGAGCAGGCAAGGCTGCTTCTCTTCCTCGGTGGTGGCCAGCGCCGAGGGGGTCCCCGTGGCCACTGGAACCTGCTTCTGTTCCCCAGGGATGGAGGTGGCCGCCTACCTGACGGAGAGGGCCCACTCGGTGTCCCTGGTGGAGCTGGAGGAAGTCCCCTTCAAGAAGTTCTTTGGGGAGAAGGTTGGCCGCGCTGTCATGAAGGTGACCTCTCTTTCCCATCCGGGGGTCGGTTTTGGTGGCAGAGCGGGGTCTGCTCGTTTCACTTATTGCACTAATTAATTTGTGATTTGGCACTTCCTGATTTAAGCTGCGATGGTCACAGTCACTAGGAAGAAAGG